GTGTGTGTGTGCGTCTGCCTCTGTGTGTGTGTGCGTCTGCCTCTGTGTGTTTGTGCGTCTGCCTCTGTGTGTTTGTGCGTCTGCCTCTGTGTGTTTGTGCGTCTGCCTCTGTGTGTGCGTCACAATGTGATTAAAAACCTGTAAGTTTTTACCTTGTGGGGACATTTTTTAGGACCCCGCAATATAAACCTCAATTTTATAAAAATCTGTGACTGCAATCTAATAAAGTAAAATAAAAAGAAAAAATGATTTGGTTATTTGTGGTTACGGTTAGGGCTGAGTAGTTGTTACAGTTGTCCTAGTTTGGATTAAGGGTATGGCCATAGAATGGAGAGTCCCCATAAAGATAGGACTACATGGTGTGTGTGTGTGTGTGTGTGTTTACACAGAGAAGATGAGGCGCTCTCTCCCAGCTCTGTATCTTCACCGAGTTCTGATGGGACAGTGATGGACCAGACTGCAGCCCCAGGTCAGAGTCTTGGCATTTCTGTAGGATTCATTTAGCTGGGCTGGAACATGGCAGGCCTGACCCCTGAGGCAGATGGGGGGCAGGCAGACGTCACTCTACCCGTACGCTCACTCTCCGGGTCCCCGCTACTCAGGCAAGCTGCCACCGATGCCCGAGGCCCCTGCCCCAATGGCCTCATGGGATTCCGGATGGAGCGATAACAAGCGCAAGCGGAAGGTCCAGCTGGTATCCAGCCGCAGAGGCGACCACATCTCCCTGGTAAGCCTCGCCCGGGGCGACCCTCCCGGAACCTGTGTCGTCGCCGTCCTGGACGTGACCCATTAAGAACCTGCTGTCGTGTCTTTGCGTGGGCAGCCCCCTCCCCCGGAGCTGGGCTACACAGTCACAGTAAAGGACCTGGACTTGGAGAAAGCCGCGGCCCTCAAGCAGATCAGGAAGGTCCTGGAAGAGCCAGGTGGGTCCACCAGGTCCCCAGAGCTGAGGAGCTGGACTGTGCCCGTTTTCATTCTTTTTGTTACATTAAATGAGGAATGTGATTAAACTGGCCAATTGGCCCATCATTTCATGCCGAGTAGGCTTGGGCGGTATCCAAATTTTGATACCGTCAAACCTCCTCCCTATTTTACCTCGGTATACGGTATTACCGTGAATAATTAAAAAATTGTGACGCAAGGCTCAGACAGCGTCACCAAACTGTTGGCTTGTGCCTAAACCGTTCAGAAACTGAACACCAAACACTAATACTGAAACAATAACAAAATAACATGCAGAACAATATTAACAACTAATATTAGCAACAAATAGCAGTTTATAAAAAAGTGCAAATACAACAGTCAAACAGAATTTAATTAACATAGACATCCAGAACAGTTTTCGCGCAGAGACGCGCACACAAGTCAAATTAAATCGCACCGCCTGAACAACTTTTAATAACAAAGAGCAGCTTATAAAAAAGTGCAAATAGACCTACAACAGTCAACCAGAGTTGAATGAACATAAACACATCCATATTATAAAAAGTATTGCAAAGCAATAGTCCTAAACAAAAACTTCTTTCCAGTCTTATTTCCAATATTGTTTTTAACGTAAACCAAATAAAAATACCTGAATCAATTAAATAAATCCGTATTTACCGCCTCTCCCTTCTCGTTCGGTCGAAACCCGAAATACTGCCAAACTGCAGAAGTTGTGTCCTTTTCCGAGACCAGGTCACTTGGTGCGCGACTCGCCATCTTTCCCCACCTCTCTATTTCTCCTCCACGCTGTCACGTGATGACAACCACGCATACGCATTTTTAGGCATTAAATAAATTGTATTTAATATTTAATCCTTGTCTCCTATATCAGTGCATTGTTTTTATGATGGTATAACGGTATTGAAACTGATACCGTTGTTATTTTTAGATCCCGCGGTATACCATATTACCGTATTACCGTATTACCGCCCAAGCCTAATGCCGAGACTGTTCACTCTTCTGAGAGCCGTATTACCGTATTACCGCCCAAGCCTAATGCCGAGACTGTTCACTCTTCTGAGAGTTTTGGTGATTTTCTAATAAAGATCTTTAGCTAATAAAGATCTTTAGCGGAATGAGTTGGTGTATAATATATATAAGGAGATTTTTGAGAGGGGCATTAACTTGTGATTTTTATTTTTTTTGGACTTCAGAGCCAGTGAAACCTGTGGCACCCTCCAGCATGCTCTCCTTTCTCACGCCCACGTCCAGCACGTCGCCTCCCGCCCCCGCCGCCCTGCTGTTGGGCTCTGCCGCCGCTCCGGCCTGCGCGGCCACCACAGCGCCCACCCTGACCCTTGCCCCCGCCTCTGAGGCAGCCTCGGCCAACGCCATCAACACCACACCCGCCCCGGCGGCTCCAAGCATCGCCCCTCCCGCCAGCTCGGCCAACCCGCTGCTGGAGTCGCTGAAGATGATGAAGAGCAGCCCGGCGCCCAGCCCTGCTGTCAGCAGCCCGGCAGGTCGCTCAGCCGCTTCCGGGAGCCCAGTGGGCCGCACTACCGTCGCACACCACTAGGACAGGATTAGAATCTTGTCTGCGTTTGTCTGTCTGTCTGTTGGGGTGGGGGCTGCTTTCCTCCTACACTCCACAGACATGCACTTTGGTGTGTTGGGTATCGGAGTCTCTAATCTGGATGTAGTTCATGATTGCTACTGGGGATTGACGTAATTGCTTAGCATTTTTTGTATAAAGGTTAAGATGCATTGAAATTGCTTGTAAAATCTGTGCAAATGTTCATAAAATAAGTACACATCTGCAATGTTATGACAAATCACTATGCAGTTCAACCTTTTGTACTTGTGTACCAGGTGTCCGTTTCCGATTGGTCTCCCCTGCCTTAGGCTCCATCCTCTATGAGACTCTGTCCTGGAAAAGCGTTTATGGGGGTGTTAATCGGTGCTGAGGTATATGAGGTGTTAACGGTGCCTTCCTCTCTGTCTGCTTCGTAGCCCCTGCCGTGACCTCAGCCGTAACAAGCTTGTTGGCTCCAGCCCCCGGCGTCAAGTCAGAGCCCAGCCTGAGCACGGCCCAGCCAGCCCCCATGGCCCTGCCGCCCGGCTCCCTGGGCATGTCCGCCTTCGCTCAGGTGCTGGCTCAGCCCCTGAAGCCGCCTGATAGCACCGCACCCTCGGCAAGCATCACGTTCAACCTGGGCACGCCCTCTGCTGCCACCACATCCGCCGCCGTGGCACCTGGGTTAGCTATTGGTACCACCATCAGCAGCAGCGGGGGCAGCAACCCACTGCCATCGGCCTTCAAGCCCATTTTTGGTGCTGCCACCAGCACACCCGCCGTCACCTCCACCGCCGGGGTGACGCCAGCATCCGCACCAGCATCCTCGTCAGCAGGTGCCCCGGTCGTGTCCTCCTTCAAGCCCATCTTTGGGAACTCCTCCACCAGCTTCCCCGCTTTCGGCCAGCCGCCGTCCTCTCTTGCCCCGGCGTCCACAACACCGTCGTCCAGCAGCGCCACCATTATCAGTAGCCTCTCCGGCACGGTCACTTCGGCCTCCCCTGTGACGGTCAAGCCTCTTTTTGGCGGCTGGAACGCCACGCCTGCTGCTGGCACGTCCGCCTCCACCACCGCCGCCCCAGCCACAGGGATCTCCTTCCAGTTCGGCAGCACTCCTGCCAGCACAACGTCGCTGTCCCTGAGTACAACCACATCCACCTTTCAGTTCGACCCGGCGACGACATCCACCTCCGCCCCGCCGGCTGCTCCCCAACCCGCCCTTCAGGGGGCCTTCACGTTCAGCCAGTCAGGCAACCAGACGGCCACCACCGGGTCCTTTGGTGGCTTTGCCGTGACCGGCATGGCAACCGCGACAACCACAACCACCGCATCGGCGTCAGGAGGTCAGTCGCTATTCACCTTCGGGAAGCCCTCGTTCGATGGGCCCGCCCAGACTGGCTCTGCCCCTCCAGCTGTAAGCAAGTCTTTCCCCTTCGGGGGCAGCGGGCCCACGCCGTTCAGTTTCGGCACGGCGGCGTCCACTTCCACGGCCACGTTCGGCACCCCAAGCCAGCCGGCGTTCGGTGGGGGGACGTCGACTTTCCATTTCGGCGGCACCTCTGCTCCCTCCGGTGCTTCACCTTTCGGCACGGTCACCCAGTCGCCCGTGCCCACCTTCACCTTCGGAGGACCGTCGTCCGCCCAGCCCGGCGCTTCCACCGCCACCCAACCAAGCACCGGAGGCTTCAGTTTCGGCACGGCTGCTCCAGACACGCAGTTTGGAGCCCCAACCCCAGCTAACCCCACCAGTCAGACTGCAGGTTTCGCCTTCGGCGCCAGCAGTGCCAAGGACAGCAAGCCAGCTTTTGGTGAGTAGAGCTCAACCATTTCCTAAGGGCTGCTAATGCCGGTAATTGTTATCTATTGCTCTGCTCACAGATACAAAGCGGTAAAGGAGCTGCTGCTCTACATCCTCATTGGTCAGGCTCTAATGATATGATTGGCTGACTCGGGGTGTGTGGGAGGGCTGTTTTAAACCGAATGTGCGATTCTTACAGGGAACACCTTTGGATCTCCAAGCTTAAATTTTAGCGGTGAGTTTGCCTATATGCTGCTGCCTGAGTGCTGCAGTCCTGTCAAACTGCAGATGCATACCGCCTCTCTTCTGGCGCTGATGGAGCCTTTCCTATGTTAACTCTGTTACATTCCCCTTCTCTTTCGCTATCCTGGATGCTGTCTCCTTGGATAGTGGTTGAACGTGGGGCTCACTGCTTGGCACACGTTCCAGCCAATGGCAACGCAGGGTTTACAAAGCAGTGCTGCTGCTGCCTTGGGCGTTCGGATCGATGTGCCAGCAGTCAGTCGCTTGCTAAATCTCTCACGCTGCCTGACAGCTTGCCTCGCCAAGGCATCCCCAAATGTGCGCCCCCTTGTGGTTTTCGGCGGTCATGGCACACACAATCTCACTAACACTTCCTTATCCTCCCTTCTGTGCTCTGCAGGAACGTCAAACCCTGCATTCGGGCAGAACGCCAACATGCCCTTCACCAGCCCAGGCACACAGACCCCCGGCTTTGGTGCACTGGCCTCCTCGCCGTTCGGTATGTTCCCTTGATCGCCGAAGATGCCGCGAACATTGGATGTTGAAGGTTCCGTCCTCTGATCCGGCTTGTGCGTTCCAGGGGCTTCGACGGCGGCTTTCTCCATCGGCTCGTGTTCGAAGCCCGCCGGGGCCCGCCAGCGGCTTCAGGCCCGGAGGCAGCACCCAAGGAAGAAGTAGTCGGGGTGGGGGGGCGGGCCCTGCCTCTGCTTCCGCCCATGGCTTTTTGCTCTGACCTTTGACCCCGACGGTTACCCACCTGACCCCCACTCCACCGCATCCCAAGGCCGGGCCTGGCCACGATTCAAAAGACGACCTTCCAGTCTCGACACTGTTACTAGTGACCGAGCGCCCCCCCCCCATCCGACCCCCTTAGCCAGCATGGGGAGCTGGGGTCCCGCAGGCGATGGAATACGGCACATATTACTTGAACAATCCCAGTCTTGGATGGAGTCGGTTCTCTTTCCCTCTGGCCCCCTCACTCCCTGCCCATCTGTCATTCTCCATCATGACGACTAGGCTGAAGTCGATATCCTCTTGATTTGACTGCTTCGTGGCGGGATGTGAGGGGGGAGAGGGCAACCTCCGGCTTTCGTGTGCAGGGAGCCAGCGCGTCTCCCGGGGCGTGGCGACATAGCAGGCGCCGCAGTTAGGTCTTTTTTTTTTCTTTATTATTTTTCTGTTTGCCCAATAGGAATTCTCCCTATGCAGCCCACCTAAACGGCTCAACGTCTACAGAGAGGGGTCAGCACTGACATTTCTGACAGCAGAATCTGTCGCATGCCGAAGGCGAGACGTATTTATAGCACCGTATGGTGATCGCTTCTCAAGTTTGTTGTTTTTCCAAAGAGCAATTTCATGATTTTGTTTCTTAGCATCAGTTAAATAGTTAGCATATTTAGAATAAATCTGATTACGCTTCACAAGTTTAACGGGATTTTTTTTTGTTTTGCTGCAGCTCTAGCGACCTTTCATAGAGGCTGTATCTATTTTAATAATGGCAAACGGGGGATTATTTTCCAAGCACTCAAACCATCCTTGCTGTTTTTTCTTTTTCTACAGCCCTGTTGCAGTATAGACCTGTGACACAGACATTCTCTCTCTTTCGCTTGCTCTTTCTCTCTCCCTCCCTCTCTTTTCTGGCCTATGCCTGGCTCTCTGAAAAACCAAAGCCCTCCCAGTTCTTTGCAATGCCATTACAAGCAATTCCTGTTGTTCACTGTTCAGATTTGCCACTGTCAACACGAGCTGCTTTTATTCTAGACTACCTCTGTCTTTCACATACACTGTCTGGCTCCCGCCCCCCCCCCCCCCCAGTCCTTGGCCCTGGCTCATCTTATTTAATATGAAATAAATGAGGGGGAATCGGCCATCTCATAGCTGGTGCTGCAAACTCCCAGCATGC